AATTATACGATTGGATAAAAATAATGATAATCAGGTGATAAATTATAAAAATTAAGAAAAAGGGAATCTCGCATAATCAATGAAAGATTATCGAATTAGAGAAATTTATGTTACTACGGTAACAATAATAGTAATGACATTAATTACTATTTTATATAATTATATGTATATCTGTAGTTACTAACCAATTATCATTCATAAAAATCAATGTATATATTATATATATATACTATAAAAACACCAAAAATGCTGATTAGAAGTAGGGAAAAAAATACCAAAATTGAACAGTCGACAATTATGCGCATTAAATATTATCAAATTCAGATTGCATAAATGCTAACTGGATATTTTTATATTTTAATTTTTATACTTGGGTTGAGTTTGAATATATCCCAAACCTGACCTGACTCGACCTCTTCGGAGCACTATCAATAATATTATAAAATTCCCAGATCGATATGAGTTGGGTCGAGTCGAGTTTGGGTTATATAAAAGCTAACTCGGGTATTTTCATATAAAGATTTTTTAACTCAGGTTGAGTTCATATATATCTAAAAACCTGACCCGACCTGTTCGGCCGGAGCACTAACCAATACAAGAATATGATTTGTTGATGATTATTTTAATTTTAATCAAAAATATAGTTGTGTAATGATATACAAAGTGAAAATAAAAGTGATTAAATTATAATACACCATAATGATAACGATAACGCTGTTATTTAAAATTTAAATTTGATAAAAATAGACTAACAGAATTGAGGTTTTACCAAAATTGAAAATTATCTCCATATCATGTGTCAGGAGAGGATCTTACTAACAGGAAGTCACCTGATTTATGTCTCTATGCAATATAAAGCTAATATTTTGGTTGTATGAATTTAGTATCGGAGAGTGTTGGGAATTAGACGTTCAAAATTGTTCAAAAAATCTTCCAAAACTTTTTATAAACAAAAACAAGTCTTGAATATCTATAGAATATATATTTTTATATATTTTTTTTATTATTAATATAAAGTTAATTGTAAATATCAAATAGTTTTAGACAAATTTTCAATTGTCCAAATTCCAACACTGGTTTAGGATATTTCAGATTAATCTCTCATTTTTTCCTTCAAGTTATGAAATTTAAACAGGATTAGCCGAAGCAATATCCATAAAGCCCGCTTCTTCCATTAATATTAACTTGTTACCATCAGTTTTTACCCATGTCGATGAGTTTGCTGTGTTTGCCTCTTGAGAATATTGTGTGTTTAATATTGCTCTACCAAGATTCATTGTCAAACAATTTGTTTCATTCTGCTTAATGAATTCGTATGTTTAGTGTTCATCATATTGTTACAGTTGTAACATAAAAATCGTTAATTCCAAAAATAGTCGAAAAACATAAAATATTTAAAAATATTCA